AGCATTGCTGCATTTTGGGAAGTCACTGTAGTAATACCACAGTGACCTGCAGTTTTGGTCTTTAGGGAAAGGAGATCCCTTGCCTCTCCTGGTATGGTGGGTGTCTGCCAGTGGGCTATAGCATTGTACACTCTGCGGATCAGCCCTGCATATAGCCATACAGCTGTGAAATGGTTCCTTGGAGCTGTCACTCTTGACTGGGGAATGAAGTGAAAAGAAAGTTGGGCAACATCCAGGCTCCTCAAGAGCACACTGATGCTATAGCAATGGTAATCTAAATTGGAGCAATAGAGTTTCTTTGTTGCTTTGGCAACTGTTGCCCCCCCCCATGTCCTCCTTCTCCTCTCTCCAAATTCCTGCTAGATCCTGTATTTTAGTTCTGTGAAGCCAAGGACAGAGTGTTATCTCTGGCATATCACCTGGCCCATCTCAGAGGCAAGCAAAGGAAGGTAAAAGAAGAATCATTTGCCAGTCCTCTCTCAACTTTCCAGAGATGCCTGTCTGGAGGGCAACTTTCCTTACCGAGGTGGTCAGCCCTGCACAATGCTTGCTGGAACAAAGGAGGGCATGAGTTTAACCAGATGTGCTGGAGCAGCACTGCTCACAAAGCAGCCCTGGTCTCTGTTGCATTCCAGACACTTCCTGCTGGGACTTGTGGCCCTTGTCACAGGCTCCCCATCTTCTTTTTGTCCTGCTGTCTGAGGTCAGTGAGTTTCAGGGTCCACACTTTTGTTCCTCCCTCCTCCTACAACCACCAGGAAGCATTTCCTCACTTTCCTTTGTGTTATACTTCTCTCAGAGAAAATGTGAAATAAAAACTGTGCAATTCCAAAGTTTGTCTCAACATTTTTTTGTTTGAAAATGTCATCTTATTTTTACTGTCAAATATGCATTGGTAGTGAAAGATAAATAAAATCACCTATTATCTGTATTCGTATTATTTAAAAAAAAAAAGGCAAACTGAAATTCTTCTGTTTCATTACATAACTGCATTTATAGAGATAAGGGAGACTGTGACATCACAGTGCTTATTTCAGGCATTCAGACATCATAGCCTTAGTGCTGCCAAATGAGCAGATTTTTGATGCTGTAGTATGCCTGGACCCCCACCATTGCTGGAAGGCATAAAGTGCAATTTATTTATTTCTTCCTTTTAAAATACACAGAAACCAGTTGAAGTTGGAGGCAACTGATTTTTGCCAGCAGAATTTTCAGCTTTTTAGTTTTTAGGTAAAACTGTGGTTCTTTGAAGCCTGTATCCTTTGGAGAGGCGCAAGATTCTTTGTCCAGTGGACTAGGTGGTGAAATCTTTCTCCAGCAAAGACCTGCAAAGTGTATGTCTTGTGCCTTAGAGAAGGAGGAGGTGGGTGAATGCCAGCTGTCTCTTGGCAGGGGAACAGGAGCTGCTCTTGCATTACCTCTAGCATGGCAGCTGAGGCAGGCAGGGCTGTTCTGTCAGGTTTTTTTTGTGACCCAATCGTTTTAGTCTTCGTGCTTTTATGTTAGTTTGGCACCTCTTCTGGCATTAATTCAGGTGTCTCTGCCTACAATACTACTGATTCCCTTAATTTTATGTAGCCCAGTGTTACTCCAGGTGAAGCAAAAGGCACAAACTTGAACAGGTCCCTTTGTTTCTCCGTGTTGCCTCTAAGGGATTTCGTAGGCCTTGGAATCAGAAAACGGTAGCCTGAAGACAGGCTAAGAATGTTGAGTATCTGCGTCTAAGGCCTTCTTACCCAATAGCTGTCTGTAGTCTCCTGACCCTGACAACGCAAAATGTTGTTTAATGACAAGAAGTGTTACAGAGTGCAGTTGCTCTGCCCATACCTTCCATAGCTATTGGAGAAACTGGCAAGTTTTGACTTGAGAAGACTAGAATTAACTCCAACAAGGTTTATAGCTGTGGACTTAATGGAAAAGGGGAGCCTTGCTTTGTACGCTTGCTGGATGAAGAACCCAGCATGTGTTCGGCTCGTGCTTGTTCCGCTCTGCCAGCGGATGGTGTGCCTGGGAAACCTTGCCCTGCCCCAGGCCCAGGCTGAGCTTCCTCTGGGGCCTCGGGGGATTCGGTGTGATGGGGTGCCGCATGGGAGCAAGTGGGGTTATTGTGCAGGGAGCCAGAGCACACAGAGCCTGTGTTAACTTTGTTTCCTAATGAGAAACCTAATCTCATGCTGCTTGCAGAATAACTCCTGAATTAGTTCAAAAGATGTGTATCCTTTATAAAAGAGGATCGAGAACCCCTCCACTTTCCCTTGACATGTTAATGGTGATAATCCAAGGCTCGGGAACATAGCGGATGTGCTTTCCTAGTTTGAACTGAGTTGCTGCTGGAAGCCCATGGATCTTTCTAATTCTACAGCTGGCTGCTGTATGCATCGGTGTGTAAATGCATGACTTACCTTCTGTGCCTTGCCTGGCTTTTTGACCTTCATGGTCTTGGAGCAGTACGTGTCTGGAAGGTGGCAGGCCCCAGTCTGCCGCCATTGCTGCCTTTTGCCTTGCAGCAAAGGAGAGAGCAGAGCGTGGAGCTGCTGCAGGCTGTGCGCCTCTGCAGGCTGAGGGAGCCTGTGTGGCCACATGCTGCTGTTGCTCCCTGCCTGCAACCTGGGGAATTGCTCTTTGCATTTCTGAGATTTCACTTTTTCTGCTGATCCTTCCAAGTAAATAGTTAATCTGTGTCTGTCCAGGTGAACAAAACTGCAAAGTAATTAACAATCTACATCAACAGCTATACCTGTTTTCCACTGAATGAATGCCTGTATTTGGCAGCCACTGTCACCGGCCTGAGCATACCTTCTGAGCAAAGTCGTTGAGTTAAGTGAAACCCACCGTGGTGAGTCTGAAATACAAACATTACTTCTGAGTGAACTTTTCTTTACTGGTCAAATGTGACTACAGGAAGCTTTGTATGCAACTTACTCAACATAGCTTGTGACTGTGCCCATATGTAAATGCAGCATGTGCTTCATTCACAACATGTGTGCATTTGAGGACAGAATTTCTAAATCAGTGGACTCACATTTGATCCCGCTGCAAAAGTATAATTCTTTCTGTGTGACCTTTTATTTTAGCTACTTTACAGTCTTGTGTCACATGATACTGTGATACTGCTATTGAAAAATAAACGTGAACACAAAAATGTGTTTGTGTGTGCAACATACATGCAACCTCACTGTTCCCCAGATCTCATACTTTGTTGATTTGTCATGAGAAAAAAGTAGAAATATCACCAGAAGTCACCTGTTTAGTCTTAAGGTGAATCTACTAAGATTTGACTGATTTTCTGCTAGTGGAAATATAAGAAGAAACCCCCTGAGTTTTTCTAGTTTTCTTGCTGAGTAGTGCATAATTTTGACAAAAGCTTCCCATAACTTCCTTACAGACCAAGAAGATTCATAAGGAATAGCAAGTATGGAGACAGCTCTTAATGTTGACAATCTTTTTTATCTTACTACGGTTTCATTTATTTTGTGGGAAAAACAGAGGACTTTCAGTGCTTCGCAGCTGATAAACTATAGTGAATAAGAAAATTGTATTGCACTTCTGAGAGCTAAACGTGGCAGTTTGAGATAAGCGCTGACCACTTGTTCTAGTACAGAAGTGTCTCCCTTCTTTTCCATTAACTCTCGTTTCTGTGTGAAAAGCAGATACTTGAATGACAGCTCTGCACAGTAGCTGAGAAACTGCAGAAAGTCATTTGCAGAAAGTGAAGCTGGATTAAATGAGAAGAGAATTAAAGTTCAGACTTTTTAGTGAGAGGTTATCTAGTAACATGAGCAATTTATCAATGGTTGCACTAGCTTATTAACTCATTAGAATTTTTTTTAAACCAGGATTAAATGTTTCACTAAAGAGTGTTTCAATTTGGACAGGAGCTAACAGAGGTGAAATGACCTGCAGCATTCAGTTTGCAGCAAAGCTGCCAGTGACATGTTTGATGCTGAGGCAACTGTCATACTAGGTCAGCTCCATGGCAGGACCTGTATTTCCTTCTTCATCCTCTTCCACAAGATTGCCAGCTTTGATACAGTACTAATGTGGCAGATCAGTTATTGTTCATCTGTCTTTCAGCCTTCATCTTTCATTTTAAAACCTGATTTTGCTGTGGTCTGAATAGGACTCAGCCATTTTTAATATTATAATTTTTTCTGTTTTGTTTTATAGGATCATGGATTTTCCAGGGCACTTTGAGCAAATCTTTCAGCAGCTCAACTACCAGAGGCTTCATGGCCAGCTTTGCGACTGTGTCATCGTGGTGGGAAACAGGCATTTCAAAGCCCATCGCTCTGTTTTGGCAGCATGTAGCACACATTTCCGAGCCCTGTTTACTGTAGCAGAAGGAGATCAGACTATGAATATGATTCAGCTGGACAGTGAAGTGGTGACAGCAGAAGCTTTTGCTGCTCTGATAGACATGATGTATACTTCCACACTAATGCTTGGGGAGAGCAATGTTATGGATGTCTTGCTGGCTGCTTCTCACTTACATTTGAACTCTGTTGTTAAAGCATGCAAACACTACCTTACTACTAGGACGCTGCCAATGTCTCCACCAAGTGATAGAGTACAAGAGCAAAATGCACGCATGCAGAGGTCTTTCATGCTCCAGCAGCTTGGACTGAGCATAGTGAGCTCTGCATTAAATTCCACTCAGAGCACAGAGGAACAACCAAATGCTATGAGCTCCTCAATGAGAAGCAACATTGAGCAGCGCACTACTTTTCCTATCCGTCGTCTCCACAAACGTAAGCAGTCTTCTGAAGATCGGGCCAGACAGCGCATCAGGCCTACCATGGATGAGTCTGTTTCCGATGCGACTGCAGAGAGTGGGCAGTCAGTAGTTCATTCACGGGAAGATTTCTTCTCTCCAGATTCACTGAAGATTGTGGACAACTCTAAGACCGATGCTGTTGGTGATAACCAGGAGGATAGTACTATTATTTTTGATCAGTCCTTCAGTGCTCAGGAAGATGCTCAAGTGCCCAGCCAATCTGACAACAGCGGAGGAAACATTTCACAGATGTCCATGGCATCCCAGGCAACACAGGTGGAAACCAGCTTTGACCAGGAGGCTGCTTCTGAGAAGAACAGCTTCCCATGCGAGAATCCAGAAGTCAGTCTGAACGAAAAAGAGCACATGAGGGTGGTGGTGAAGTCTGAGCCCTTGAGTTCCCCAGAGCCTCAAGACGAGGTGAGCGATGTCACCTCCCAAGCAGAGGGCAGCGAGTCTGTTGAAGTGGAAGGAGGAGTAGTGAGTGCAGAGAAGATAGAACTGAGTCCCGAGAGCAGTGATCGTAGCTTTTCTGACCCACAGTCCAGTACTGACAGGGTGGGAGACATCCATATTATGGAGGTGTCAAATAACCTGGAACACAAGTCTACTTTCAGTATCTCAAATTTTCTGAATAAAAGCAGAGGTGGTGGCTTCGGTGCTAGTCAAAACAGCGATGACAACATTCCAAATACCACCAGTGACTGCAGAATGGACAGTGATGCCTCTTATCTGATGAGTCCAGAGTCAGGGCCTGCTGGTGGCCATTCATCTGCCACCGTCTCTCATGTTGAGAATCCGTTTAGTGAGCCTGCAGACTCTCATTTTGTTAGACCAATGCAGGATGTGATGGGTCTCCCCTGTGTACAGACTTCTGGGTACCGGGCGGCGGAACAGTTCGGCATGGATTTTCCGCGGTCGGGCTTGGGCTTGCACTCCTTGTCAAGGGCAATGATGGGCTCAGTAAGAGGTGGAGCTAGCAGCTTTCCTGGCTACCGACGCATAGCCCCCAAAATGCCTGTGGTGACCTCAGTCAGGAGCTCCCAGCTGCAAGATAACTCATCCAGTTCCCAGCTGATCATGAATGGGACCACTTCTTTTGAAAACGGGCATCCGTCGCAACCTGGTCCACCACAGCTGACAAGGGCATCTGCAGATGTCCTTTCAAAATGCAAGAAGGCCTTATCTGAGCACAACGTCTTGGTTGTAGAAGGTGCACGCAAGTATGCATGCAAGATCTGCTGCAAGACGTTTTTGACCTTGACAGACTGCAAGAAACACATCCGTGTGCACACAGGAGAAAAGCCTTATGCCTGCCTGAAGTGCGGCAAACGGTTCAGCCAGTCCAGCCACCTGTATAAACACTCCAAGACGACCTGCCTGAGGTGGCAGAGCAGCAATCTGCCTAGCACTTTGCTTTAACCTTCTTCACCCCTGGCCTGAAGGAGAATGCCAGTGCAGATGTGTAGCTCCCTGAAGCACTGCAGGAACACGAACACTATTTTCTTAAGGCCGCAGGCTCAGAGGCTGCTCTTGTTTGTCAATGAACACTTCTGTGTGATTGTGCCACACACACAAAAGTCTTGGTTCTGTCAATTGGGGATATTACTGTACCTACCTCACAGGGGTGTTGTGAGGCTTAAACAGCTGTAAGCGAAGAACTTGGAGATCCTCAGAAGTCATGCTGTTGATGTCTGAAGCGTTACTATGATGTGCATTCAGGCCGTGGGCTGACGGGGATACAATCCCTAAAGCTAAGCAGTTCCTTTGCAGGGCAGAGGGGTGAGAGTGTAGTTATCTCATGAAGTAGCACGTTTCAAGAATAAGAAACTGAAGTGCAAATTTCTTCTTTTTTTTTCTGAAGTATTTTGTAAAAGTGAAAACATTTGAATAAATGACCTGTAAAACAAGTTGGTGCATTATGTATGGACAGTGATGTGAGAGCCCGTTTACTGTAACTAACACAGACTGCATATCTTTAAAAGAGAAAAACAACTTTGGGTGCACCTGTCTGACATAATGCTTTAAAATATGCTAATTATAAAAATAGTTCTAGGGTTATGAATGTAATGTTTGGCTGTTTTGTAGTAAAGGACACTGTGTAATGAAGGTGCTTAAATTAAATCCAAGACAAGTCACTTTTGGACTGCCAGATGTATATATACTTTGACTACAGCAAGATCTGGATGTTTGACTGATTTTTTTTTTTTTTTTTTTTCCCCAGTAGAAACTTGTGTTAAGTGATAAGTGAAGTACTGTTTCTTGTTCGTGCTATTCTTAGCAGTATTTTAACCAATTTGTATCTCCTATGTTAAAATTCTATATACACAGAAGTCTGAAAAGAGCTTGTCTTTGTCTGCTTTGTTATTTTGAAGGAGACAAATAATTTGTGATGGCTTTTTTTACTGTGTAAGATAGTCTCTTGCTGTTTCCAGATGCTATAGTCAGTCTGATCCCCGTTATTGCATAAGCATATTGTCCTTTTCTGACACTCTTATCTTCAGGCTTTAATTTCCTCCTCTTTACACTTACTTAGGTTCCTTCACAACAGTTTGTTGTTCTTAGATCAGTCAGGAATGATCCTCATTTGCGATATTTATTTATTCATGTCTCTCTGTAAAATGTATTTGTCAAATCCAGTCCTTCACTTAAAGTAGTGTCATAAATGTACTTTTCCATATAAATTTTTTAAAAACTAGCATAAATTAAATTTAAAAAAACAGCACTGTACACTTTGTATAGCAGAAGTTCAGTGACCTTTATTCTTCAAATTAATTGTGTAAATCTTGTTTTAATTTCCTCTCCTTTGATACCATTATAACTAATACTGTCTGCAGTCTTTTTTCTTTATTAGAGATGCACATGAACTAACTACTGGTGTTCAGCATATTAGGTTTCTAAATAAAATTTTGGAGCACTTCCGCTGATAAATGTTGCTCTACCGTATAGGAGCTGGGTCACAGCTACAGCATGTCCATTCTGCTCAGAAGAGACAGGATTTGCATTTCCTAGTATCAAAGTCACAGAGCAACATCTTTCCACTAACACAAAAAAAAATTTGCAAACCTCCCCTTCTTTATTCTATATAGCAAATCTGTCCCGTGTGATGATATTTGGCAGTTTTATGGAGTTTGTGCTACCTAATAGTTAGCCTTCTTAAACATCTTGGACTTACATTTCGTTAAACTGAAAATGAAATCCTAATCCACAGTCCTGTGGGTCATTTAGCAGGATGAACTATCAAAACTGTTGAAGCACAGAAACCAAATAGTCATTGTCAGACCAAAGGAAATACGGTGATCTTTCTGTACTTGGCTTTATGTGAAACAGTAGTCCACTTATGAAGAAATGTGTCTTAATCTCTAATTACATAGCTCCATGTTGAGGAAAAAAAAAACCAAACCCAGATGTCTGTCAGTGTGTCATTTGCACCTTGAGCATCCACGGTAAACAGGAACATGGAAGCGTAACGAATGATTGGATTAATCCTTTAAAATGTTAAGATTTTGTTTCAGGATTTACTTAGTGGTCATATTTCTGGCTCTTGATTTTATAAGCATTAAGGAAATGTGCTACATTTTTTTAAAGCATTAGGATATGCCACGTTTTGTTTGATAATAATTTTTATATAGGGGGATTAACAACATTGAGCTACACTAAACAGTCTCATTGAAGCATCAATAAAATGCAGTATTTTGTACTTTAATACTTTCTTGTGTTGCCTTATTAGTAATGTTCTGATTGTTTCATCTTCCTTGCATTTCTAGTATTTTGTTTTAAAAATAGGGGTTTTTTAAATTTTTTTACCTGTTTCTTATAGCACATCTGAATTCCTTGAGTTCTTACTACGCATAGCAATAAAGCATCTATGCGAGTAAGGAGGTTAGAGTAACTAAGAACTAGTATGAGCAGATAAACATACTTAACTGTACTTTTGATCTGTTTTTATTAAAAAGTTAATATTGTGAAATATCGGACCTTGTGCAGGAGGACAACTGTCATCTTTTCTTAAAGAAAAAAATCAACTTGGAGCATTTTTGGAAGTAGCAACTTTAAATTTCATTATTCATTAAAACCTAGTGCATCTGGAGGAGCACACTGCAAACCCAGGAACCTGTGGCCATCTGGTTGCTTTCCTAGTCTTGCAGTATGAAGCAATATCTCAGAATGGCATCTCCACTTAGCTATCCCTTACTGTAAAATGAGAGTAAAAAAAAAAAATCTCAAAGCCTGGTAATATTGTCAAAGAGCTTGTCACCCTGACTTTTGTTCAAAATTTAACTTTACAAATGCTACAGTGAGATCTCATGTGAAGATGTCAGTATGTTAGAATTATGAAACATCTGAAAATAAACCGTACATTTTTGTGCTGCTGTGTCTGACTTGATTTACTTGTTTATCTTATCCCGGAGTCTTTGCCAACAGCATATAATGGATTGACTAAACAAGTAACGGTTGTGTGTTAGCTGATTGAGCTCTCTGCGTTACTGGGTCGCTTGGCAGTACAAAATAATCCTGTTGAAATCTGGGCACACACGGAGGCATTTTTGTCAAATGAGGCCAAGCACAGAGTGCTGCCCAGGGCCAGCGTCCTGCTTCATGCGGAGGCTTTGCCAGTTTTGAGAGGACATGCCACATCCCATTGACAGAGAGTCGCTCTGTATTTGAGCCACTGTGGAGTCTGGAAGGACAGTGTTGTCCCGTCAGCACTTGGTGAGCTGGTTTGAAGCAGCAGAGCGCAGCAGGACGTCAGTGTAGTGTCTTTGGTCAGGCTCAGGGTGGTTTAGTGTCTCGTGGAGCCTCAGCGTGGTGGGCTGCCTTCTGCCTCACTCTCTGCTCTGGCGGTGACGTTGGAGGTGTTCCACACAGATGGTTTGAGGTGCCCTGCATTTGACTGACTTACTTGCAGGGGTTCTTCCTGCTGCTGCAGCCTTGACGGGAAGGAGTGCGTTGCCTGCATCTGCCTCATCAGACGAAGGCTGGAAAGCCTCCGGATTCTGGGAGCATCCCACTTTGTGCGTGGAGATTATTGACATTTTTTTCAGCCGTATCGGTTTCCTGATGAGTTCACTTTGCGACTGCACAGGTGCTTGTGCTGGCAAGGGAGCAAGGATAAGTGGCTAGGTAATGACGCAATTATTTTTGGAAACAACCAACATATGAATGCTCATCAGTGACCTTCCAGGTCTGCAGCATGAGACCATTAACAAAGGCTGCTTTGGTGACTTGCTCAATAAAATGTGTGTTGGTGCTGATGAGACTAAATTGCATGACATCATAGCATAATTCATGTCTTGAGTAGACGTCAAGGTAGTTAAACAGATTTTGAAAAGGCAAATAGATTTTTGAAAAGCAGCCGTTTGTAATTTAAATGCTGTAGCATGCTCTCTTAATTCTTCTTAATAATATATGCAAATAAGTTCACTCTGCAGCTTCCTATGAAAAGGAATGACTCTGAACTAATGTAAGATGTCCATTGGTAGAAGCCGTACATCAATACTACATCTGTGTAAGTATGTCTTTGTAGGACTGCATGCTTAGGTGAGGCCTCGTGTTGGCTTACGCTCCAGAATGACTTTCGAAGGCTTGCTGTTCCTGCCGGAGAAGACAGTCTTGGAAAGACTGTAGCGAAGTCTCCTGTCAGAAAACGTGCAGAGAGGCTGGGCTGCGTGCTCTGTCCTGCTGGCTGTCTCTGCTGCTGCAGGTTGGTGGCTTCCAGCAGGGTACTGTAATCTCACGAGGTGACTCCATGAGCCTCTTTGGCCCATGAGTCAACCTTGTAAAACACTACCAAAGCACAACACGAACACCCCTGTCAGGAAGTGCGAGGGAGGAGTCTGTGCCTGGCAATGGCTGTTAAACAACGGTAGGGATTGGCGTGCTGCCGTGGATGCTCTCACTGCCCTGGCAGTTTTACATTTGCTGCTTAGTGTTACGTGATGGGGGCTGATTCTTGCAAGCAGCTGGAAGGAGCAAACATGACACTGGGCTCCGCAGCCACCAGATGCCTGTCCAGAGGGATGGCATTCCTCTGCCTCTTCCCTGCGGTGCTCTGGGCTCTTCCTCCAGCTGCAAGTGCACAGTGAATGAAGAAATGGCTCTGCTGATGTGAAAATGCTGCTGTCCCCACCACAGGGTGAGTGCAATTCTCCTCGTTTGCATCAGCATCATCAGCCAAATAACCACCAAAACAGGCCACTTGATAGGCACCTGCAAAGTGACTATTACTCTTTATGCCAGCCTGTAAAGAAATACTTGTTCTTAGCAAAAACTAATTGTAAAAGGCTGTACTTAGCAACAATTTTGTTCCTGGGTAGAATATACTCTTCGTAAGACCTTATTATTAAGGTTGTTACTGAAGTAATGTTATGTAACATCTGTAAAATCCATAATCCATTGTTGTTGTTGCTCTCTGAATTCCT